CTGAAACTGCATTTACCAAATTCTTCCTTAATAAAAGGTGAAGGAGGAAGAGGAGGGGGAAGGAAGGGAAAGGAAGGAGGAGGAGGAGGAGAGCGAGAGAGAGAGAGCGAGAGAGAGAGAGAGAGAGAGAGAACTAGCACACAAAATTGTCTCTATTTCTATTATTTTTTCTTATCATAGTGAATAGTACCATTCTCCATCTAGTTGCTCATATAAGAAATTATAGGCAGTTCTCTTCTCACTCAAAATTGCCCTAAATTCTATCTCTTTCATAATTCCTCTCAAATATATTTTCTCTGCATCAGCCCTGTTTTCTTTTCTATTGTATCTTCAGTGCTTCAAATGTTTCCTGGCACAAAGTAGTAATTCAGCAAATATTTAGTGAGTTAAAAAAAACAAAGAAAATAAACAAAGCCATTAGCCCTGTAGGAAACAGTTAATTTAGGAAACAGATACAACCTTTAAAAATAAATACATTTTGGAAAACATTCAAGAGAAACTTTTATCCATTAAGCAGGACAGGCTGCTATGAAAAACAAAACAAAAAATCTGAGGAAAAGAATAATTTATTGAAGGTAACAATTTTTTTAAAATAGCAATGGGCAGGGTGAATAATAAAATTGACACAACTGAAGATCTAATTAATTAAAGTGGAAAAAAGTCTCAAAAATAATGTAAAATAGCAGACATAAATTATGAGGAAAGTTAAACAGTGGTTGCTACAAGAAAATAAAACAAAGTATTCAAAAGGAAAAAAAAATATTTGAACCCTGTTTCTTATATTCAGCTAAAAACTAAGTATGAAAAGAAAAAAAGATATGCAGGGTGATTTGCACACAATAAAAGGGAGAAACTAGGTATGACTCAGAAGTCAGGGAAGCTAGAAAAAAATAAAGTTGAAACATTAAACTAACACTTGGAAGAGACTTTTTTCAGTGGCAAAGTTTAGTAACAGGTTTACACTTCCTTCTCTATGGATAGTTTCAATTACTTAGGCCTGTAATAAGTGGTATTTGCATAAACACACTGTTAATATTATTTACTAAATTTCAGTTTTTAAGAGTCAATGTGTAGATAAAGCATGGGGATTTACTTATAGTCAGAGAACAATCTTATAGACATTGACAATATAAAAATAACATTCCTTCTAAAAACTTGGAAATTAGGTGAGAGAATATGTTGGAAAACATAAAAGTCTAAATAAATTTCCATTTTCACAGGGAGGAGTTAATATATCAAGTATACAAGTTTATATATATCAGAATCATTATAAAAGCAACAACAAGCAGGTGGGAGAGAAGGTGAAAGGTAATATGAATGCTCTAAAATCTTAATCTTTATTTGTGGAGAGCCCAAATCAGTAAAGGCTATTATCCTATATAATAAAAGCCTAATATGCTAAGTGTCTGACTGTTTGACTGTTCGACCAGTCACTATGATGCGTACTGACCACCAGGGGGCAGGCACTCCACCCAGTAGGTTAGCTTGCTGCTGGGGACTGGGTGAGATGGGCCTGACACTCTCTGGAGCCCTCCCATGGTCCCTCCCTGGCCCCAATCGTTCATCAGTGGGGTTCCTCAGCCTGGCTTGCTCCCTCTTGCAATCTGGGACCCTTCAGGGGATGTCAGAGAGCTGGCTTTGGCCCAATCACTGCAGGTCAGGCCAAGGGATCCCACTGGTGCATGAATTCGTGCACCAGGCCTCTAGTTTATTTATAATGATAACGATGAGAAAAACTAAAAAACAAGAAAACAACAATACCTTAGCTTCTGGGAAGTAAGAGTTATATGTTCACGTATACTATTCTATTTGCAGTTTTTAAAAAATATGTGCATACATTATCATTTAAAAATCTAAGGTAATATGAATGAAGAAGTCAATAGCGTAGTGTATGTGAAGTGTCTGACACAGAGTAGGCACCCAATTATAGTTTTTTATGGCTGCTATTAAAAATTTTATTTTTATATGTGGTAGCTGATTCAGCTGTGTTCTCTCTGTCCCTTCAGATACAAATAAAATTCGGGTCAAACCAATTCTGTGCTTTGTGGTAGCCTAGAGTGTGTCCTCTGGTGTCTGCAGATGCCATGGTATTGTGGTGGTTGTCACTGTGAATGGGCTCCTCCCACCGAACTAAAGCACATTCTGAGTCATTGTGCCCCGCTTGCCATCCCAGTTCACACTTTGTTTAATTAGATGCTGAATTCAATCCAGTCCTGTGATTTCTACTAAAAGCATCCACTCACATGACAACTTTGCATTTGTAAGTTTGAAGAGGTTGAAGAAGGTTAACTGACAGGAACAGTTCATATCACGAAGATGCTATTTCAAATTAAATGTTGCACATCACCCCTGGCAAATGGTCAGCTGCAGCTTCACCACATATTCACATCTCTAGCTCTATGGTCTTGCCTAGCCATTTTCTCTTTCTCTAGCTCTCTTCTCAGCTTCCACCTCTGATTGCTTGGGGGAGCTTTGGAGGTCCCTTTTGTTTTATTTTGCAAGACTCCTACTCCCATACCTGACTCCAGATTCCACTTGGCAGAGCCTACCCTATGGAGATGGGCAACAGATCAAGGGACTTTTGGGTCACAGAATCCACTAAAGAAGTTAGTGGTGGCAATAAGGGACACTTTTTCTGTCTATTGTTTTGGAATACAGCAATAACTAACCAAGCAGACTGTTATATGCAGTATATTTTCTCACTGCCATCTACTCTTCTCATCATCAGAGTAACAAAAATTCACCCTGAGTATCATCTAAAATAAAAAGATTGTTTTAAAGCTGTGTCTTCACAGGTAATAACTGCCCATTTCATTTTTAAAAGATATAATGGTAAAATTTGATCACTGTATAATGACAGAGTAATGTATTTTTAAAAAAAACTATAGTGGGAAAGTTGGTCTTAATGGACCATAATTACCCAATTGCAAATCTATCCTATCTAATAATAGAGAAACATGGTAATTAACCATAACTTCACTACCCTTCCCATTGGCTAATCAGGGTGATGTGCAAATTAACTGCCAACTAAGATGGCAGTTAACCGCCAACAAAGATGGTGGTTAATTTGCAAATGTAGGCACAATGCAGGGAGGTGAAAGGGAAAGGACGGAAGAAGCCCACTGCCACTGATAGTGATCTGAAACCCAGCGGGGAGCCCTGCCCCCCAGCCATGATTGGAGAACCGGGCGCCTTTGACACTGGGGCCAATGATAGTGGGAAGCAGGGGTGGAGCCGGCAATGGGAGCTGGGCAGGGGTGGAGCCGTCAGTCCGGGGAGCTAGGGGTCCCTTGCCCAGGCCTAAAGCCTTGGCCAAAGACATTAGGCCTGGGCAGGGGTGGAACCTGCAATCGCAGGGAGCTGGGGGTCCCCTGCACAGGCCTAATGCCTTGGTCAGAGGCATTAGGTCTAGGTAGGGGCAGAGCGGGAGATCATGGGGGCTGGGGGTCCACTGCCCAGGCCTAACGCCTTGGCTAGAGGCATTAGGCCTGGGCAGGGGCAGAACCAGACATCACGGTGAGCAGGGCAGAGTCAGAAATCGTGATCAGCTGGGGGTCCCCTGCCCAGGCCTAACGCCTCAGTCAGAGGCGTTAGGTCTAGGCAGGGGCAGAGCGGGAGATCACGGGTAGCTGGGGGTCTCCTGCCCAGGACTAAGGCCTCCACCAGAGGCCTTAGGTCTGGGCAGGGCTGGTGCCAGAGATCGTGGGTAGCAGGGGCGGAGCCGGGGATGGTGGGAGCTGAGGGTCCCCTGTGCAGGCCTGACGCCTCTGCCGGAGGCTTCAGGCCTGGGTAAGGGGCCCATCCGGTGATCGGAGGGTGATTAGGGTCGACTCCTCTGGCCAAGGAGTCAGGCCTGGGTGGGGGGTGGAGCCGGCAATCGGAGGGGTCTGGGGGTCCCCTGCCCAGGCCTGACACCCCCTTCCCCCAGAGTGCACAAATTTTTGTGCACCAGGCCTCTAGTATATATATAAAAGCCTAAGAGACCAAACAACCAATCGACCAGTTGCTATGATGCACACTGACTACAAGGGGGCAGGCACTCAATGCAAGAGCTGCCCCCTGGTGGTCAGTGTGCTCCCACAGCGGGAGTGCTGCTCAGCTGATGGACCCATCCCAGTGGACTACCAGCCCAACAGCAGCCACTCACTCTCTCAGTAGGCCTGCAGGTCCAATCTCCAGAGAACGGGCCAGGCACTGATGGACTGGCACTGCTGGCATGATCTTGACAGTGCAGCAGGTCTCCTGGAAGTTGGCCTTGGGCACCACTGCTACTTCTCCTCCCTAGATGCTCCACAAGAAAGAAACGATATAAAATCAGCCGGCAGGTGGATGCTGACAAACTGCACTAACATCAGCAGCATGGATCTGAATCCCAGGCTGGTGAGGGGATCCCACCACTCACCCAGATTGCCAATCGTGTCCCATCCCCTCCCCTCCTCCCCCTCCCCCCGCTCCTCAGGATGGGCGCCAGATGCAGGGTTTATGGCTGGCGAGTAATGCTGCTGCTGCTGCTGCTGTGGTGCGAGCCTCTCCCAATTGGGACTGACTGAGCAGGAGCCCGTGGCAGGCGCAGTGGGGCTGGGATGAGTAGGAGTGGCAGGCAGGAAGGCAGGAGCAGCAGGCAGCATTGGACTGCTGGTTTCAGCCTGATCCCCACAGGCCACCCCAAGGGAACCCACCTTCACAAATTCGTGCACCAGGCCTCTAGTGCAATATATAAACACTGAACTTTATAAATTGGATAAGGCAGAGACAATCCCTGTGGGACTCTGGTTGACATATTTAAGTCTCAGGTTCCTTTCTCTAAGCTGCAGAGAAGCCACATCTTTGCATTTATTTGAAATGTTATACAGGGTAGGGCAAAGGTAGGTTTAGAGTTTGTATGGAAAGTAATACAAACATTAATAAATAATAACAAGAATAAACTCTGTTTCATGTATTCACAACTGTAAATCTACTTTGTCCCACACTATATTTACCTTGGTTTATTTCCTTTCCAGGTTGCATCTGATAAATCTGTTGAGACACATGAAGATGAAGAGGTGAAAATTCAACCTGAGTATCATCTAAAATACTCAGTGGACCAGGTATAATATGACTATTATGACCATTATTATTACACTAATTATTATTCATATTGATGCTGGCTATTCTTAGTAGCAATGACTTTGATGGAGAATTAGTTTTGTTTCTTGTTTTTCCTCTTAAAAAAAAATCTTCGTTGTTGAGAATATTACAGATATCCCCCTTTTTCCCTTCATTGCCCCCCTCCATCCAGTTCCCACCCCACTCCAGACCTTCACCATCCTACTGCTTGTGTCCATGGGTAAGATCTTTGGTTAATCTCCTCCTCACCCCCCTACCCACTTCCCTCTGAGATTCATCAGTCTGTTCCATGCCTCTGACTCTATTTTACTCACCAGTTTGTTTATTAGATTACTTGTTCACTTATTTTGATTTTTAGGTTCAATTGTTGATAGATATGTATTTGTTGTCATTTTAATCATATTTTTATCTCTTCTTCTTTCTCTCCTCCTCCTCCTCCTTCTCTTCTTCCTCTTTTTAAAGAATTCCCTTCAACATTTCATATAATACTGGGTTTGTGGTGATGACCTCCTTTAGCTTTTTCCTGTTCGTGAAGCTCTTTATCTACCCTCAATTCTAAATGAGATCTTTGCTGGGTAGAGTGATCTTGGTTGTAAGACTTTGCTATTCACTACTTTGAATATTTCTTGCCACTCCCTTCTGGCCTTCCAAGTTTCTGTTTGAGAAATCAGCTGACAGTCATATGGGTACTCCCTTGTAGGTAACTAACTGCTTTTCTCTTGCTTCTTTTAAGATTCTCTCTTTGTCTTTAATCCTTGGCATTTTAATTATGATGTGTCCTGGTGTGGGCCTCTTTGGGTTCCTTTTGTTTGGGGTTCTCTGAGCTTCCTGGGCCTGTAAGTCTATTTCTTTCACCAGGGAGGGGAAGTTTTCTGTCATTATTTCTTCAAATAGATTTTCTTGCTCTCTCTCTCTCTCTTCCCCTTTGGCACCCCCCATAATGCAAATGTTGGTATGCCTGAAGTTGTCCCAGAGGTTCCTTATACTATCTTCATATTTTTGGATCCTTTTTTCTTTTTGCTCTTTTGCTTGGGTGATTTTTGCTTACTCATATTCCAAATCATTGATTTGATTCTCTGAATCCTCTACTTTAACTGTTGATTCCCTGTAAATTATTTTTTTTAAATAATTCTTTCTTGTAGAAAGTCCCACTATTTCCCCATTGACCCCTACCAGCTTGCTCCCATCCCCCGCCCAGGTCCTTACTACCTCATTGTCTATGCCCATGGGCCATGCACATATGGATACAAGGACCTTGGTTGGTTACCTTCCAGTCCCCCCTCCTCCCACTTCTCTCCAAGATTCCACACAACGCTCCATGCTTCCATATCTCTGTATCCATTCCATTCATCAGTTTATTTTGTGACTTTCCACATATGAGTGAGATCATGTGATATTTATCTTTCTCTGACTGACTTATTTCACTTAGCATGATACTCTCCAAGTCCCTCCATGCTTTCTCAAGCGGTAAGATACTCTGTTTTCTCAACACCGTTTATTGAAGAGACTGTCTTGAATCCAGTGTATGCTCTTGCCTCCTTTGTCAAATGTTAATTGAGAGTAATGACTTGGGTTGATTTCTGGGTTCTCTGTTCTGTTCCATTGGTCTATATGCCTGTTCTTGTGCCAGTACCAGGCAGTTTTGATTGCAGTGGCTTTATAGTATAACTTGAAATCTGGTATTGTGATCCCTCCAACTTTGTTCTTCTTTCTCAAGATTGCTGCAGCTATTTTGGGTCTTTTTGATTACATATAGATTTTTTTGCATTATTTGTTCTAGATCTGTAAAATATGCTGTTGATATTTTAATAGGGATCTCATTTAATCTATAGATTGCCTTGAGTAGTATGGGCATTTTAATAATGTTGATTCTACCAGTCCATGAACACAGTATATTCATCCACTTATTTATATCTTCTTCTATCTCTTTTTTTAATGTCTGTAGTTTTTGAATATAGGTCTTTTGCCTCCTTGGTTAAGTTTATTCCTAAGTATTTAATTTTTTTGTTGCAATGGTAAATAAGATTGCTTGTTTAGTTTCTCATTCTGAGAATTTATTACTGGAGTATAAAAAAGCCATTGATTTTTGGGTGTTGATTTTGTATCCTGCTACATTGCCAACTTCATTTATTAAATCTAATAGTTTTTTGGTGGAGTCTTTAGGGTTTTCTATGTACAATATCATAATGAGAGTTTTACTTCCTTCTTTCCAATTTGGATGCCTTTTATTTCTTCTTCTTGTCTGAAGGACTAGGACTTCCAGTCCTACATATGTTGAATAAGAGTGGTGAAAGTGGTCATCCCTGTCTTGTTCCTGTTCTTAGGGGAAATGGTTTTAGTTTTTGTCCATTGAGTATGATGTTTGCTGTAGGTTTTTCATATATTGTCATTATCATGTGAGATATGCTCTCTCTATTCCCAATTTGCTAAGAGTTTTTAATAAAAATGGGTGTTGGATTTTGTCAAATGCTTTTTCTGCATTTATTGATATAGGTGTTTACCTATGCTGCCATCTTCGAGAATTAGTTTTATGAAGAGTCAGAGGACATGATTGCCTCCATAATATGATTCTGGGGTATAACCCTGACATACTCAAAGAAATCCTTCAGATTTATGGAGAAACAGGGTGTATTGTTCATGTAATTAACTTTGTGATGTATTTTCTATTGAAAGGTTGAAGAGAAACATACTTTGGAGAAGGAAATAGAAACGTTAAAGAAAAGTTTAGAGAATGAAAAAATGTTGACGGAAAGGTACTGGAAATAATGATTAATAACTACTCATTTGTAACTAATACAAAATTTAACTATCTATAAATTTATTACAGGTTTAGGAAGGAATCAGACCGGATAAACAAAATATGGGAAAAGAAATTTCTTATTCTCAAGAACAGGTATAGTGTGGTAATATATAAAAATTCTAGTTATAGAAATGTGACCTATCATCTTTTAAGGAAATGAGGCGAAATTTTTCTGTATATATTAATTAATATTAACAAGAAGTTCAAAATAATTGTACTAAAATAGAATGGTAGTCAAAGTCACCTCAAAGAAAAAATAATTTAAAACTTTCATTTCCAATGTCAATGTTTCAACTTCTAATGGATCAGCAGTACCTATTGATTCCTGGTTTAATCAGACCTGCATAATCATTTCTTTTCATAGGGCGTTAAAATGTTTTCCTGCTCATTTGCACATATTCATATATAACTGGTCTATAGCTTCCTTGTAAAATTGCTTTAAATACTAGATCCCCTTTCCATTTTTAGACAGGCAACACCAACTCCTTAATTCTCAGATCTAATTTTTATTCAGATAATTATTTTAATTTCTCTTCCCCATGTCATCTTTGTCTTCTTAAATATGGAGAACGTAAAAAGAAATGAAGAAAGTGACACTAAAATTCTGAAAAAGCTGAAAGCAATGCCAATTAAAAAGAAATGCTTATTTTTCTCTTGTCCTAACATCTTAGTATTAAAATTCTATGTTCTGTTCTCTCGGTTTATGCCATAATTTCCACTAGAATTTCTTTGCATGTTGGAAATTTCTTTGCAAGATTTTCTCACAGTGAAGCATCTACAGGATAGATTCAATGTTGGTCTGATGTCGTAGGTCACACTTGAGGCTCATACCTAACTTCATGGGATGATAATGCCATACATTTGCACTGCACTTCATAAACATACAGAGTGTGTGTGTGTGTGTGTGTGTGTGTGTGTGTGTGTGTGTAAAATTCTGAACATTAGCACTGAAAAATCCCAGGTGTCATGGTTGAGAATCTACATAACAGAAATACCACCAGATGATGAGTAAAGGATCTCTTCCTTGTGGTAAAACGTTCTGCTTTCCACTCCAGCTTGTGTTTCACATCTGTGATGATAACTATTTTGTGCTCTGAAAAAATGTGCATATTAGTACTTCCCCTGTCCCTTCACAGAGTTATTATAAGGAGAGCATATTAATACAGGTGAAACTAGAGGATGAGAACAAAGGAAAGTTTAAACACCCACCTAATTTCATTTCCCCACACAGGGAATTGGAGCTATCTCTGAAACTGAATAGAATGCCTTTCCCTTACTTATTTCTGCGGGGTTTACTTTCATCCTTAAGATTTATCATGTATCTGTCCCTATGGAATTCATTCTCTACTCAATGACCATTTACAGGAATATCTCAGTTTTACTTCAAATTGATTTGCTGTTAACCAAGATGTTGACAATCATATTTATCAACTTGGTCTCTGAAGACTTTATGTTGTTATCTAAGTATTTAGAACAACAGGAAGTATCATTACACACTTTCTATATGTTTTCTCATTTAATTAACTAACTAGAATATAATGTTGGGACATAATGCATTTGTTCATAATGGTTTGGTTGCATCACCAAGGGCTAACTCAAGGTAATACATGCAACAACATAGAAAGTGCTGTGTCATGGTGTGGTATGGAGATTAAGTGTATAGAAATGCCATAGATTTCTTGGCGTTAATTTTGTATCCTGCTACATCGCCAAATTCATTTATTAAGTCTAATAGTTC